GAAAAAAAAAAAGAACTGGAATGACTTGTGCTAACCAGAGGTATAAAGTTTACAAAATAATTTTAATATTTGGAAGTAACAAAGAAAATTTGAGCACTTAATTAGTTTCAAATAACTTAATTTAAACCAAACTTTCTTAACTAAATAAATGTTTGACATGTAAAGGATGTAACTAGCTTGTAATGATATTTTATTCTTATTATTATCTTTTTTTTATGGATTTTTTTAATTTGTATCTTAATACAAGTTAAAGGTACTTTTTGCAATAAATTTGTATAAAAAAATATAAAAATAAATATTAATATTAAAGTCAATACCACATGAATAAATTTAATTAGACAGTTGATATATTAAATATAACTTTTTATTTTTTTCAAAATTCTTAATCTGTGCTCTTAAAACACAAATTAAAAAATTATTTTTTTTATTTTTATAAAGTTTAAACTCCGTTGAAGATTGAAAAATATATGGAAAATATCAAAAACCTCAAAATTCCAAATAGAAGCCAACTGCATCTAAGCCCTACATATACACCAAATCTATAACACTATTTGTGTAATTCTGTCTGTCTTCGAACTTAAAGACTCCCTATGAAAGCAATAAACGAACAAAATTCTTGGTGCAAGATGTTCTTTCAGCAGACGAGACATCAACCATGCCCATAAAATGAAGTTATAACCACCAAATGTTTCTTAGCTAGGGCAACTAATGCATGCATGAATGATATAGAAGAACTTATACTACTCTCTACTTAAATAGGTAGAGAAAACGTGAAAGACAGAATTGAGGGATTAAGTTTTAATGTATTGCCTCCTAGAGAAGACAAAGGAGAATGAACGATAACATGCAGCCAATTAGTACAAAAAACGAGAACTGTATTGCCACTTCTCATTCTAACATGTGAAGAACAAATTGCTCAGCACATCATATAGACAAAATGCACCACAACTACTGAATACTAGATCATAAGCTAGAATTTAGAATAGATAAGTAGCACTGTAGTAGTAAGTATAAATCTCTAAGCCACTGAAATTGACAACACATAATAATTATTAACTAAGAA